AAGCAATCCTTCTGCCTCAGCCTCCCAAGTAGCTGGGACTACAGGCATGTGCCACCATGCCCAGCTAATTTTTTCTATATATATGTTTTTAGTTGTCCAGATCATTTCTTTCTATTTTTTAGTAGAGATGGGGTCTGGCTTTTGCTCAGGCTGGTCTCGAACTCCTGACCTTGAGCAATCCACCCACCTCAGCCTCCTAGAGTGCTAGGATTACAGGCATGAGCCACCGCGCCCAGCCTGTTTTGCCTTTTTTATGGCAGTGAGATAGACATAACAGAATTTACCATATTGACCATTTTTAAGCATACAATCCAATGGCGTTAAGTATATTCACAATGTTGAGCAACCATCACCTCTGTCCATTTTTAGAACTTTGTCATCTCAAGTAGAAACTTTGTGCCTATTAAACAATAACTCCCCATTCCTTTCTTCCCCTAGTCCCTGGTAAACTCTGTTAGACTTTGTCTCATGAATTTATTTTTCCTAGGTACCTTGTATGAGTAGAATCATGCAATAGTTGTCTTTTGTGTCTGTCTTATTTCACTTCGCATGTTTACAGGGTTCATTCATGTTGTACCATGTGTCCAAATTTCATTCATTTTTAGGGTAAATAGTGTTCCATTGTATATGTATACCACATTTTGCTTATCCATTCATCTGGTGATGAACATTTGGGTCATCTCCATCCCCTGACTTTTGTGAATAATGCTGCTATGATTATTGGTGTATACATATCTGTTTGAGTCTTTGTTTTCAGTTCTTTCGGCTCTATACCTAGAAACAGAATTGCTGGGTCACATGCTATGTTTAACTTTTTGAGAAACTGCCATACTATTTTCCACAGTGGTGGCTATACCGTTTTACATTCCTACCAGCACCACAAGGTTTCTAATTTCTCCATATCCTTGCTAACACTTATTTTCTGGCCTTTATATCCTACTGAATAACTGCTTCTTTTCATATCTTGCTTCTCACTTTGAATTCTGATTAATTGATCTCAATAAACCCTTTAAGTAAAGTGTATCTTTTTTTTTTTTTTACACTTATCTGACGTTTCAGTGTAAGTGTAAGTAAAATGTATCTTGTTGGTTACTATATTAATTGTAGTTCGGATTCTTGAGTTTTCAGGATCTCATAAGTTTTAGTTTCTAATCTATTGCAAACATGGTTTATATATACATCCAGCTTTCTTAAAAGACTTGTTTAAAAAGTTATTTCTTTATTATACAGTTTAGATTGTCATTAAAATATGTATATAATAACCTACTGTTGCATTAAATGATAGATACATGTATTTTCTATGCATATGTGTATATATACCACATATATGTATGTACTGTACAGATGCTTCACGATTTACAATGCGTTTATCAGGACATAACCGCATCATAAGTTGAGTAGCATACTACGTGTGTATTGCTCTCACACCATTGTATATCCTAAAAA